GAAACAATCTCTTAATGTAAAGACTAGCTATACCGTTCTGAAAGTTACACACTCGTTTCAAGTGTCAACAGCTGGTTTTATACATTAATGTCAGCAGTGTGCATTTCTGCTATCAAAATTACTCTGCTATCCAATGTTAAGAGAAAACACTTTCAATATGATTATCAATGACACTGTAGTTTGCAGCAACTGGCTTATCAGCAATAAAACACCTGCTGTGTAGGAAGCTGTGAATATATTTTTTTCTTCAAAGTATATGGTATTAAGAAGTTTTCAATTTGACATATAATTTTAGTCAATAAAAAGCTATAAAGAATGCATACTTCCAAGAGACATTAGAGAATTTCAATAATTTCAACTTTCATCCAACTAAGTACCACAACAAAAAAGCTTTTTAATTATATATACCCAGGAAATAAACCTAATAGATTGATTAGAAATCTAAAATGTCAAAGGTTCCTATTACTTCACTTTGACAAGTTACTTTTGAATTAATAAAAATTCAAAGTTTCTTTTTAATTGATAAAAATTAACCACCAGAGGGGCTGGGAAGGTGGCTCAGTGGTAGAGCGCTTGCCTTGCATGCTCGAGTCCCTGGGCTCGATTCCTCAGCACCACATAAGCAAAAAGAAAAAAGCCGGAAGTGGCACTGTGGCTCAAGTGATAGGGCACTAGCCTTGAGCTGAAGAGCTGAGGGACAGCGCCCAGGCCCAGAGTTCAGGCCCCACGACCGGACCAAAAATTAAAAAAAAAATTAACCACCAGAAAGCCAGAAGTGGAACTTTGGTTCAAAAAGTAGAGTGATAGCCTTGAGCAAAAAAAAAAATATCTTAGGCCCTGAGTTCAAGCCCCAAGACTGGCTAAAAAATAAAAACAAGTTAAAAACAGTGAGAATATCAACTCTTGTTTTAGTTTTTTGTTGTTGTTGTTGCTGTTCGGAGGGCTCTAACTCTGGGTGTGGGCACTGTCCCTCAGCTCTTCAGCTCAAGGCTAGAGCTCTACAACTTGAGGCACAGCACTACTTCCTGCTTTTTCTGTTTATGTGGTGCTGAGGAATCAAACCAAGGGCCTCATGCGTGCAAGGCAAGCACTCTACCACTGAGCCACCTTCCCAGACCAAGAGCATCAACTTTTCAATGCTTTTGTAACAGTGATCTAAATTTTCAGTGCAAAACCTAATGTCCAAAATATACAGGCCAATCCTAAAGTTCATATGAAAACAGAAGAGACCCAGAATAGCCAAAATAATCTTGAAAAAGAAGAAAAAACTTGGAAAACTCACAACTCCAAACAATATATGAAGCTAAAGTCATCGAAAAGGCTTAATACTGGCTGGCATGGGGCTGGGAAGGTGGCTCAGTGGTAGAGCGTTTGCCTTGCATGCTCGAGGCCCTGGGTTCGATTCCTCAGCACCACATAAGCAAAAAGAAAAATGCTGGAAGTGGCGCTGTCTCAAGTGGTAGAGCGCTAGCCTTGAGTTGAAGAGCTGAGGGACAGCGCCCAGGCCCAGAGTTCAGGCCCCACGACCGGACCCAAAAAAAAAAAAAAAAAAAATACTGGCTGGCATAAGGACAGACAACAGAATAAAATTGAAATTCCAAAAATAAACTCCTATCCACAGTTAAGTGATGTTTGATAAAGGTGCCACGCAATCAATGAAGGAAAAAAAAAGCTTTTTGTCAACAAATGATACTAGAACAACTGGATATATCTACACAAAATAATGAAGCTGCTCCCCTAACATTTCCCACACAAAGAAATTAATTTCAAATGGATCACAGACTTAAGCAGATAAATTAAAAGTGTAAAACCTTTCTAAGTACAAAAATGCAGGAGTAAATCCTGGGTCAGGCAGAGGCTTAGGTACAAGAACAAAAGAGAAGTGATAGAAAAGAAGGTAAACTGTGCTTCCAGACTACATCAAAATTAAACACTGTGCTTCAAATGATGTTACAAGAAAGTAAATGAAGCCAGGAGCCAGGGGCTCATGCCTGTAATCCTACGAAGTTGAGATGTGAGAATCGAGGTTCAAAACAGCCCAGGCAGGAAAGCTCCTGAGACTTTTTTTTTTTTTGGTCAGTCGTGGGGCCTGAACTCTGGGCCTGGGCACTATCCCTCAGCTCTTCAGCTCAAGGCTAGTGCTCTACCACTTGAGCCACAGTGCCACTTCCAGCCGAGGAATCAAATCCAGAGCCTCAAGCATGCAAGGCAAGCACTCTACCACTGAGCCACCTTCCCAGCCCAGTTCTTGAGACTCTTACATACAACTACCCACCCAAAAAGCTGGAAGTGGAGGAGCTGTGCTCCAAGTGGTAGAAGACTAGCCTTGAATTTCAAAGAGTTCAGAAGGAACAGCGCCTAGGCCCTGAGTTCAAGCAAGCCCCAGGCCTGGCACCAAAAAAACAAAGTGGGGATGGACAACAGCAGTGGGAAGGTGGAAAGGGATGAATATGATCAACATAGTTTATTTGCATATGTAAAAACAAAACAATACCTGCTAAAATTGTTCTGGGAAAGAGGTTTGTGAGAGGGTTACTGAGGGAGATGGGAATATAATATAATGTGTGGAAATGTTACACTAAAGCCCTCCCCCACAAATTAATGCAGGCTAAAGAAAGTGGGAAAGAAGAAGCTGGGAGTCAGCTCACACCTATAATCCTAGCTACTAATCAGACTATCAGATAAGACAGAGGTGCCCAGATAGCCCTGGGAGAGATGTTCACTAAACTCTATAACCAGCTTTGGTTGAAGGTGTGGCTGAAGTAGTAAAGCACCAGCCAGGCAAGCATGCGGCCTGAGTCACAGAATGGGAGACCTGAGTCAGAAAATGGCAGAAAATATTTTTCAAGTACTGTACCTGGTAAAAATGTTTATTTAGAATACAAAAAGACGGGCTGGGAAGGTGGCTCAGTAGTAGAGCACTTGCCTAGCATGCATGAGGCCCTGGGTTCGATTCCTCAGCACCACATAAGGAGAAAAAAAAAAGCCGGAAGTGGTGCTGTGGCTCAAGTGGTAGAGCGCTAGCCTTGAGCTGAAGAGCTGAGGGACAGTGCCCAGGCCAAAAAAAAAAAAAATAGAATACAAAAGGAACTTATACAACTCAATAATAGCATAATTGAAAAATGGTCAATGGAGATTAACAATTCTCCAAACAAAACATAAAACTTTATAGTAAGCACATGAAGAACGACACAACAGTAACCACACTATGATACTGTATTGCAATCAAAAAGTCATATAACAAATGATAGTGAGTATCCTGAGATGTGAGGTGTGATCCTAAAATGCTTCAACCACTTTGGAAAACAGTCAGCAGCAGTTCCTTAAAATGTTACACAGTGTTACTATAAGGCCCAACAAATTCCATTCCCAAAAGAAATGAAAACATATTCAGACAAACTTTTACAAAATTGTTCATAGAAGCATTATTCATAATAACCAAAAAGTGAAAATGATATATCCATTTCAGTACTGGAGGACTGGCTCAAGTGGTAGTGCACTAGCTGTGGGCAAGAAAGGAGACAGAGAACTCTAGGCCCTAGGTTCAAGCCCAGTACTACAAAATAAAAACAAAACAAAATCTATCACAGACGGTTAAGTAAAAAGTGAGAAAAATATAATTTGGCCACCAAAAGGAATTAAGTACTAACATGGATGAACCTTGAAAATATTATGCTACAGGAAAGAAGCCGATCACAATGGTCCAGAATAGACAGATTTATAAGAAGCAAAAAGTAAATCAGCTGCCTAGGGCTGGGACTAGAAGAAAATAGTGACTACAAATGGACACGGGATTCTTTCTGGCCTGATAAAATTGTTCTTAAATTGCTTGTGGTCATGTTTGAACAACTCTATAAACATTTTAAGGAACTCTTGCGATATACTCTGCAAATGGTGTACTGTGTGGAATGTGAATTTCATGTTAATAAAGCTGTCTAAAAGAACATGTTAATACATATGTTGTTCACGGGAAACAAGGAACATGACTGACAAACTGATCTGATTTCTGAGCATGGTCTCATGTTTGAAACACTTAGAATTAAGAAGATTCACTCCTTATTATCTTAAAAGATGTCTCCTCTACAACAAAACAGTTCTAGATCGTGCTCAAATGAAACTGCAGTACCTGCAAAGTGTCAGGACATACACAAGAGATTCATTCAGGGTACCTGCGTGTGTTCCTTTCCTGAACGTGGCTGCACAGTAATTCCCATTACAATCAACAGTCCTGCAGCACAACACCCCAGAGGAAAACTGAGAATCCGGCTCCAAGAAAAAACTACCACTAAGTTCAGAGGTGGGGTGGTGGAAGAATGAGGAAGGAGCAGGTCTGGGAAGCCTGGGTGCACCCAATCCACAAGAGTTGGGTTGCACTCAAGTCAACTTCCACAGCTTTGTGGACAGGCCTAAAGGCGAGGTCGCGGGCGCCGAACCACACAGCCGCGCGGCGAGGCCAGGGGGAGGAAGTGCAGTGCCGATCCGATCCGATCCGATCCGGCCCGGCCCCGCGCGGGGTCGCGAGCGGGGATGGTGGAGGGCGGGCCGTGCCGAGACGCGGCCTGCGGTGGGCGCGGGAAACGGACGACCCCCGGGCTGGGCCGGGCGCGCTCCCCGGGGCCGCCGCCGCGGGAGGCGCCGAGCCGCGGGCCTGTCCTCCGCGTCCGAGCGCCGCCGCACGCCCCGCGCCCAGCGCGCCCGGAGCCTCCGGTGAGGCCGGCTGGCGTCTCCCGCCCCATCCGGCGCTTTGTCCCGGCCGGGGCGGCCCCGCCGCGGCTCCCCGGACCGCACTGACAGCCCCCGCGACAAGGAGGGACTACAAGTCCCCGGGGGGCCGCCCGCCCGGACCTCGACCCGGCGGACCCGGCAGGCAGCGGTCCGAGGACGCTCGCCGCGGAGGAGCCGGAGCCGCCGCCGCCGCCCGAAGCGCACGCAGGCCGAGGTCAGGCGCCCAAAGCGCCGGACTCCGAAACCCTCCCCACTCCCTCCATCTTTACGCTTACCCAAAAATTCTCGACGAAATGCGCCATGACCATTGTGCTGCCGCCACCGCCGCCGGGTTCCGCGTCCGCACCCGCCCGCCGCTGTGTAAACACGGACCGGCCCCCACCGCGCCCCCGCCTTTCGCCGCCGCCGCCGCCTTCTTCCCCGAGACCGGCCCGTACCCTCCAGGGCGCATGCGCCACCTAGCGGCCGTCACGAGACGGACGCTTCGACGCCGCGACCTCGGAGTGCGCATGCGCACCGAGCGCCGTGCCACCCGCAGCCCCGGGCGCGGCTCTGTTTGAGTCTCCTCCGGGGAATGGTGGAGAACCGGGTCCTGGTGGAGTCACGGGCTACCGTCCCCCACGGCGTGACAGGCACTGGCCGGAATTCGAGCCAAAACTAGGGTGATGCTCTGCTCAGTCGTGGCTCCGCCGCTGGCCTTGGAGGATTACCCGCAGACCGAAGTCCGGCGAGCGGGGCCGGAGGGCCCTTGGCGGGCCGGCCCGCCCCCTGGGGCCTGGGGAACCCTGGGGTCACGGGGTGCCCTTCCTGGACTGGGAATTCGGAGCAAAACAAGACTCCCCGCCCCCGAGGCCGGAAGGGAGGAAACGCCCAGTTGTCGCTGGAGCTGCGCGACCTGGCGCCGAGGCCCAGCCGCTGACCTGGGGAGGGGGGGGGGCGGGAAGGGGGAGGGAACGTGACCCCGGCAAGGAAAAACAAGCCTCTCTTTGGACCTGCTCGCAAAATTCCTCGTTTCTCCTAGCAACTTGTGCATTTGACAAAACAAAACGTGTTTTAACACGTCTAAGCACTAAATCCCCTCCCCAGGCTTTACTCTTCCAAGGGTTACAAAATGATCATTGCATTCTTGTAGAGCTCTCAAGTTCAGTGCCACCAGATCAGCCAGGACCCAGCTCAGCAGCTCTTGGAAGTCAAGCTAGCTTTACTGTAGCTTTTACTGTTACATACATCACACCTCCTCCATCTTGTGGTTTCAAATGTAATGGTATAACACCTTATGAGAAATTATTTTCATCCTCTAAAGTAAAAATCACGCGATACCTCTCATTCGGAAGTGGTTACTTAGGTCAGACAGACTTTTAAATTCTCAAACCTCAGCTTGAATGCAATACATTGGCATAACAAATCATTCCTGGTACTGTCAAGCCTAGATTTTCCTTCTGTTTAGCATGGTGGTCACCATAGTTGTCCATGTTACACTAGCCTCCATTTTGTCTTTACCTTGGATCCCATAAATATCATGGGTAAGTCTGCCAGGGAGATAAATCCCTTGTGCATTTTAGGTATAAAGTTCATTGTGTTGTAATTGCCTGGTATTTAAGTTGTGGAACTTCTTAGTGATTAGCGTGACTAAATTCCAGATAAGATGGTATAATATAGGAAAAATGTGGGTGGTATCAGCCACCTTGTGTTCTGTCTCCTGAGATGCACAGATCCTCTGGCAGAGCAACGACCTTAAGTAGGCAAGCTGCTTATATCGTGCCACACAACCTTAGCCTGTTTTTATACAAATACACTGTAAACTTAGGAAAAACTGGCCTAGATAACAGGAGAGCACAACTAAACTGCCTACCTGTCACTTAACAATCATGTAGTAAATGTTCAGTGAATGAATGAATGAACAACTAGGCTTATCAAATGTCAAAGTGGATTTGTCCTTGGCTATGCAATAACTCCCTTAAAATGTTCTTTATTTTGTGCTAGATGCTAGGACTCACAGAGAATACCATTATCTATTTAAGCCCTACTTAATTTAATTTTCTTAAATTTTTAAATATTTTGAAAAGATATTCAAATATCTTTTGATGGTGCTGGTGGCTCACACTTGTAATACTAACTACTTAGGATGCTGAGATCTTTTTTTTTTTTTTTTGGGGGGGGGAGGTTTGGTCCGGTCATGGGGCCTGAACTCTGGGCCGAGGCACTGTCCCTCAGCTCTTCAGCTCAAGGCTAGCACTCTACCACTTGAGCCACAGCACCACTTCTGGCTTTTTTCTTTTTGCTTATGTGGTGCTGAGGAATCGAACCCAGGGCCTCATGCATGCAAGGCAAGCACTCTACCACTGAGCCACCTTCCCAGCCCCAGGATGCTGAGATGTAAGAATCATGGTTCAAAGCCAGCTTAGGCAAGAAAGCCAGTGAGACCCTTATCTCGAATTAATAAGCAAAAAGTCAGAATTGGAGGTGTGATTCAAATGGTAGAGTGTCATTCTGGAGCAAAAAAAAAAAAACTAAGAGCACCCAGGCCCTGAGTTTCAAGCCTCCAGTACTGGCACACACATACACACACAAATTGTCCTTTCATTTTTGGCTGTCCCCATGACCAGATTCACTATCTACTTTGAATCTCTCTCTAATCACACCAGCTATTAATATGGTGGCTTCCAAAAGATGTTCTTGGGCCTCATTAAATTTTTGTCCAAACATATACATTATAGCCCAAAGTATTCCTGGACTATCAGGACATAACTTGATGAGTGGTAGCACATAAGACTACAAGATTCTTTGCCTTACAAAATAGAGTTTGTCTCCAAGTTTAAGAGTCCAGTCTCTAACACACCCAGAAGTAGCTTTCCTCATTACAGCATTGACATCTAGTTTCATTTCAGAAAGGTTAGCTATAAAGTAAAACACATTTCCCCATTTGTTTTCAATACAATTTGGCAATTTCCACTTGTTCCCAGAGCAGCAGAGGAGAAGCTCCAGGAGACTTCATCTACTAATTTCAGGAGCAGCATTCTCTATCAAATGGAATAATCCTCAGTATTCAGTACTCAGCTATCTGATGACAGGCAAACTGCAAAAGGGGTAAACTCTGTTAAAAGGCAGCAGAGAAAAAGCCAGCTCGGAGAAGTCAGGAATTACCTTGCTTTTCCTTTCCTCATGCAAAAGCAGCATATTAAGTACAAACACTGCATGCAACGGGGAAAAAAAAGTAAAAGCTTAGCAGATGGTAACCAGGCAAGCTGCAATAGGAAAACCAAGAGGTAGAAACATGCTAATTTAACTGCAGAAGGTGCCAAGCGTGACTCTGCATACAAGCTTCTTGGTTCAGAGCAGCTCCCTAGGCGCCTTTCTTCTAAGTGCCCCAGGGACCACCTGCTTTCTGAAGTGGCACCATGCTTTCCTCCATTGGCCTGCCTCTTCAAGGGGATCCCTGGCTTTGTGGTTTGTGGAGGATGCACAAAACCCTGACAAATTGTTAAGAGATTCACACTGCTAGTGGCCACAGAGAAATTACTAAGGTAATACTAGCTGTATGCTGGGCTTAACACCTGTAATGCTAACTACTCAGGAGGCTGAAATCTGAGGATTGTGGTTTAAAAACCAGGCCAGCCAGGGGCTGGGAAGGTGGCTCAGTGGTAGAGTGCTTGCCTTGCATGCATGAGGCCCTGGGTTCGATTCCTCAGCACCACATAAGCAAAAAGAAAAAAGCCAGAAGTGGTGCTGTGGCTCAAGTGGTAGAGTGCTAGCCTTGAGCTGAAGAGCTGAGGGACAGCGCCCAGGCCCAGAGTTCAGGCCCCACAACCGGACCCCCCAAAAAAAATTAAAAAAAAAAAAACAGTCCAGGCAGAAAAGTCTATGAGACTTTTATCTACAATTAACCAGCAAAAAGCTGAAAGTAGAGGTGTGGCTCAAGTGGTTAGAGCACCAAAGTTGTGTGAAAAAGCTAAGGAATAATGCCCAGGCCCTGAGTTTTAAGCCCCAGTACTAGCACCAAAAAAATGGAGGGGGGGAGTTGCAATACCTGTGTAATATATATGTATATATAAAATATTTGGCATGAATACTAAATACTTGTATATGCATGTAAATACCTGTAAGGAAAAGGGTGCTGGGCTCCAGTGGCTCATGCCTATAATCCTTGCTTCTCAAGAAGCTGAGATCTGAGGATCATAGTTTGAAGTCAGACCAGGCAGCAAAGTCTGTGAGATACCAGAAAACAAGAATTGACACTGTGGCTCAAAATGGTAAGAATGCTAGCCTTGAGCACAAAAGCTAAGGGATCAAGCCCCACAACTGACACACACAAAAAAAAAAAAAATAAAAAGGAAAATATGGAAAAATGAAGAAATCCATATAGTTTAATTTATAATTGCTAAATATTTTTACAAATATTTACCCAGTAACTTTTTTAAAAAAACAGTTCTAGGGGCTGGGAAGGTGGCTCAGTGGTAGAGTGCTTGTCTTGCATGCATGAGGCCCTTGGTTCGATTCCTCAGCACCACATAGGCAAAAAAAGAAGTGGTGCTGTGGCTCAAGTGGTAGAGTGCTAGCCTACAGCTGAAGAGCTGAGGGACAGCTCCCAGGCCCAGAATTCAGGCCCCACGGCTGACAAAAAAAAAAAAATTCTAGATACTTATATATGTAAATTGGGATTAATCTTTTTTTTTTTTTTTTGTTGGTCATGGGGCTTGAACTCTGGGCCTGAGTGCTGTCCCTCAGCTCTTCAGCTCAAGGCGAGCACTCTATCACTTGAGCTACAGCACCACTTTCCGGTTTTCTGGTGGTTTATTGGAGATAGGAGTCTCACGGTCTCTCCTGCCCGGGCTGGCTTTGAACCGCAATCCTCAGATCTCAGCCTCCTGAGTAGCTAGGATTACAGGTGTGAGCCACCAGCGCCCGGCTGGGACTAATCTTTTAAAAAATTTTTCCTTTTATTATTTTTAAGTACTTGGGAGTAATCTTTAACATATTTTATTACCTCTCTTTTATTTCAGCAATAGATATTTATCAAGCTCTTGTTACAATACTTGTCTTTGCTCTTAAGAAAGTTCTAGGGGCTGGGATGTGGCTTAGTGGTAGAAAGCTTGCCTTGCATGCATGAAGCCCTGAGTTCAATTCCTCAGTACCACATACACAGAAAAAGCCAGAAATGGTGCTGTGGCTCAAATGCTAGAGTGCTAATCTTGAGCAAAAGAAGCTCAGGGACAGTGCCCAAGCCTGAGTTCAAACCCCAGGACTGGCCAAAAAAAAAAAACTAATTTCATATAGAGGCTCTTGATTAATTTGATACTGATAATGACAGTTATAATAATGGGCATGGAAGAGTGCTTTTTACATAGTTGTCAACCAACCATGAATATTTGTTAAATGAATAAATTAAGGAATCACTGTTCCAGAAGGCTAACTCATAGAAATTCAATTTC